CGAAAGACTTCCCCCAGGGTCCCCATTTCTCTGCATGCCCAGAGTCCCCGTTGACTCCTGTTAGGAGGTCATCACCTCGGAACTCGTCTGCAGACCTCTCTTGGGTATATGCCACCTGTTTCTGTCAACCAGTGTTGTCTCCTCTTTGACCAAATGTGCAGTGAATACCAGGACGTCTCCCCTGTTCCCTAACACCTTTGCCTCAAGAAAACACAACCGTTTGTAGGGTTTCTAAGTATTCGTGCTGATCGGATAGGAACTTTATGGGATGAATGGGTTGTAAGACTCAAAGGTTGTAAAATCTTTTCCTATATACCGGTTTAAAAAATATATATATATGTAAATATAATGAGAGACTGCAAAGAGAGTATTGCTTTTATTTCCTTGGCAGAACCTAATTTTTTTTTTCTGAATCATGTGTCTCATAGACAGGACACAGTGAGTTCATTTTGTTCACTTGAAGGATGTTCTGAGAAAGGGAAAACAGCCCAGCCATCTGTTAGTAGCCAGTCTGAAAAGCCATAGCTGAGCCGTGGTGTGTGCAGCCACATATAACATACAGTTGACCCTTAAACGACAAGGATTTGAACTTCACAGGTCCACTTATACACGGATTTTTTTTTTTAATGTTCACCCAAGTATTTGCTTATTGATTTGAGAGAGAGAGGAAGCAGGAGAGAGGCATCGATGAGACAGAGAAACATCAATCGGTTGCTTCCTGTAGGCACCGCGACCAGAGACGGAACACTTGACCTAGGCATGTGCCCTGACCAGGGACTGAGCCTGCAACCTTTTGGTGCAAGGGATGACATGCCAACCTAGTGAGTCCCCCGGCCAGGGCTATACCTGGATTTTTAGAATTATATTGGAAAAATTATTGAGATTCCGTTACTACCATGAAGCAATCATATTGATTACAAGAGACAACCATCAAGTAGCCATATGGCTGTTTCTTTGTCATTGATGCATGAACGGTTACACCTGTAAATAAATACGCATTTCCTTTTCACTTTACCTTTTCATTTCTGATGTCTATTGTTCATAATATTTATAAAACTTACATTTCTATCATATAAGACAATAGTGAAGTACTATCAGACAATTCATCCTGTAAATAGATGATGTAAACTTAGAGTATCGATAAACACAGTGCAGTACAATAATGTATTTTCTCTTCCTTATGATTTTTAATAACACTTTTTTTTTGTCCAGCTTACTTTATTGTAAGGATATTCTGTATAACACACACAACGTACAAAATATTGCAATACGTGTTAACTGGCAGTTTATGTGACTGGCAAGTCTTCCAGACAACAGAAGGCAAAGTCTGGGGGAAGACCCAAGTTGTATGTGAATGTCTGACTGGGGAACCGAGAGCTGCCCATGCCCTTAACCCCCTGGCCCTACTCAAGGGTCAACTGGAATTCCAGATAACATCTGATGGAGGTTGTCCTCTGCTATCCTGGCTGAAGACAAACCAAGGACAGTCTGCAACCACGAAAACTGACTCAACATCCCCTTTTATTCTAGACTTTCTTTAGGGAGAACTCCAACCACTCCAAGTTTCTGACTCCGAACTTTTCCTATTTAAGCATAACCACAGGTGCTGCCGCTTAGGGCGATCGTGAATGTTCAGCAACATAGGAGTGGCCAGATGTACGGTGAGAATGTCACACATTAGCTGACACGGGCACGCTACTGGTTTTCTGACTCTTGACTTCCGTTCAGTATAATTTTTTGCTGTCACTTGGAGATTTACTCAAAAGAGTGCTCTGCGTTTGAAAGCTCTGAGGCATTGTGATATGATACACAACTCAAAACCCAGAGACATGGGGGATTCCGCTTCAAGAAACATCTTACCCATGAGTCTCCTCATCCCGAGCTTTTGGGTCCAGCGGCAGGCCTGTAGAATTTACCCCACAGCGGCATAGAAAGTGTGCTCCAAACTGTAAGAAACCAACCCATGACCGGCTGAGTTTTCCCTTTATAATGTATGTCAGCTGTAGCACTTAACGTGGCAAATGAAAAAGGCGTGCGGAGAAGGAGCGAAATAAATTAACCAGCCGCCTACAAACAAACGGACGCATAATTATTTGCACAAAGCATTAGAAAATACTGTGATATTTTATTATTAAAAATGCTTGCTGAAAAGTTTATACATATGTGTCCAGCCATATATATCTTCTATCATTACTTAAGGCAAAATCAAAAACAAAACTGCAAAATAAGAACCCAAGAAACCATTAAACCCTGCGTGCCTGTGAAGGTCGAGAATAAAAGCCTAGGAAAGTAATTTTTTTATGCATTTTTTTCTCATTTTCCTCTTTTTTCAGTTTTTTTTATAGATAGCAAGTATATTTTATTCTCATAGAACTCTATGAAGATTCTATAACTTCTTCCCATGTAGAAATAAGATATCGTTGAAGGTGTATTAAATTGTTTTTGATCATAATCCTCTGTAAAAGCTAAAGTAGTTATTCACTTAACAAGAACTCTTTTGTTTTCCCCCGTACCCAAATGTGACAAGCCTGATGCATTACTGTGCATATTGCTAGCTGAAGACAATTGGAAATACTAAACAAATACTGGAATTCGTATTACAGACGTACCGGACCAACATCGACGCAAGTGTCTCTCCTTTGCGGTGTGATGGGGCGTGTGTTTGCGGGCATTATACAGAGCCTGAAGAATGGCATGATGCTAGCTCCAGAGGTTCACGCGCTGGGGACAGGAATCTTCTCCTTCAGCTGCAAGAAAGGAGCATTGCTTCACCGTGTTCCAGTGGGGGACGGTACCGTTTCACACCATGAATCCACCAAGACGCGCTCTCTCATTGAAACCAAGAGAAACAGGACTTCCATCCATTTCCAAGAACTGCCTCTTTCTCGAGTGCTTTCCCCAACGCTCTGATTTAAATCGTGACTGCGGGTGTTGGGGTTTTGTACTCAAAGAAAGCAGGGCTGACTTTGTGGGGACGGCCTACCTTCGAGCAAGACTGAAGACTGGGCTTCTACAAGAAACCCCATCAAACCCAGAGACACTCTCTGCTAATATCTTTGGCTACTATTTCCTGGTGGTGCAAACATTTCTGCAAGACAAACATAACCCTGGAACCTGGTCACTGGTTTTTCTCCCTCTCCCTTTACGACACTCAAAGTACTCTTTATGCAAGATGAAAAGGACAACGAGAAAACGACAAAGTGTCGAGGCGACTCCGGCCTCCCGTTGCTCCATTTTAAATGGGTGAACGACTCCCAGGTGTCACCGCGACAGGAGAGCCACCCTGACTTCCTGGGAAACCCGTGCACTGTGCTTCCGATGTTCTGTCTCCCCTCTGGTGTGTGTGCGTGTGCGTGCGCGTGCGTGTGAGTGTGTGTTGCTCTCTGTCGTACTCCTGATTGCTGATGGATACACACATCCACAAAAAGCAATCTTCTGAGACAAGTCTAGAAAGAGAAAAACTCTGCGTACAGATAAATAAGGGATGTAGCTGCTGAAACGAGAAAGGGAAGACGCACATTCTCCTGCAAGGGGATTAGCTAAACTGAGCGGGGACAGCCTTGCCCGGCCGCTTCTGCAGCTGCCGGGAAACAAAGGCTGTATTGACTCCGTAGGGTGCACGTCGCCAAAGCTCCGCTTTCTGTCCTTTCTCTCCGGGGCAGGGCCCTGCACTAGGAAGCAACGCGTCCCAAACGCGTTCAAAGAACCAGAAAGACAGAACTGAAATCTCTCTCTTATTATTATTATTATTTTTTCGGCCTGATGGAGCTCTGCACGTGCATGTCTCTCATTCCATGGGCTTCCCATAGACTCCACGGGGGGGGGGGGGGTGTCGTCTTCTGTGTTTGGACGTCATGAAAGCTACACACACGCACGCACGCACGCACACGCACACGCAAGAAGTTTCCTCAAACAAGTCTTCTAAGGTTGCTGTCACATGCACTTGTACAACCTGAAAAGGGGAAGGTGCCCCACCCGAGGCCAGTCAGACCGACCGTGTGGGTGTCCGAGAGGACGCCACCCCTTGCTACACAGAAAACGCATTACAAAACCCCATGTCCTCATTTCCACAAGGAATTAAGAAGCAATGCCTCCTGTGCTGGGAGGAAACAGAGGTGATATGACTAATGTGTATATATATATATATTTATATACATACAGACCACAATGGGAATAGTACAATCTTGCTAAAAGCTCTTTCAAACTAAAAACACCAATAAAAGCCTGTTTTGTTTTTTCCTGTTTGCGGGGTGTCTCTGTGTGTGTGTGTGTGTGTGTGTGTGTGTGTGTGTGTGTGTATGTGTGAACTCACAGCTATATACAGGTTCTCTTTATTTTTACAAAGTTTCTTAAATAGAGTCCAGGCTGGCAAGCCATCTAGTTGCCCAGGAGTCTACGTCCGGGGCTGCATAGTCAGCGCTTGTGTTTTTAAGAATAAAATGCGAGTTCTCCTGCTTACTCGAGTCGAGTTCCGTTTGCTGGGTAAACGCCCATAGATTCTTGCTTCTCTTAACTAGAGCCACCTGTCGTATGGCACATAAAGGACTTTTATTATTATCATTATTGTTTTTTAATTGCAATTTAAGAAAAAAGAAAAGAAAAGGAAACACAACCAATGAAGTGTCCCTGGCTAAGTTCCAGAAGTGTGAGCGCATGTGGTTAGGCTGGGAATGCCCAGGTTCTGGGAAGGCGCGTGGCGTCACGGGGAACCGATCGCCGGGGCGGCGGGGATGTTTAAGCAGCGTTTTATGTTCACAATGTCTACTCTTCACATTTCATCGGGTCAGGAGGTGATCTCGTGCCAATGCCGTGTGTCCTCAGGGACCACGTTGTGGACTTGCCATTCTGCTGTCTGCTTCTGAGTTCGTGTGTGTGTTTGCTGTGTTCTAGGTTGGCGGGGTGGCGGGCATTCCTTGGGTAGAGGTGTCGCCTCTCCGTTCCTGTGCTCTCGCACGGGGCGGGCCGACGGAGGCGCAAGGGAAGGGACGGGCGGGCGGGGACGGCAGAGCTATACCCTGGTGGTGGAGTGCCCGTGGGGTAAATTGGTACTGTTCTGTCCTGCGCTGAAGGTGTTGAACGTGTGCAAGGGCTGCATGCCTGTCAATGTGTTTGGGATCATGGTGATGGTGTTAGGGGTCATGAGCGGGATGTCGTCGGGGGAGCGCCGCAGGGTGAGCGTGTAGTCGGGCGGGCAGGTAAGCCGCAGCGTGTCGTGGGCCTGCAGCGACTCGCACTCGTGGTCGTGCTCCAGCTGCTTCATCTGCAGCGACATGATCTCCTCGTTCTGGATGTGCGCGATGTCGTTGGTGGTGTTCCTCTGGGGGCTGGGGCGTCGGTGCGTCTCATGGCGCCTCTTGTCCTTCTTGTAGTACAGGGCGGCGAAAGCCAAGATGTTGAGGAACAGCAAGGAGGCCCCCACAGCAATGGTGACGCTCAGCTCGGTGGAATAGTCCCGTTTGGTTTCGATGAGGACGGTGGTGTCCTCGGGCCCTGTTTTGTGGGGGTCCTTGGAGTGCTTGGGGTGGTTGGCTGGCGTGATGGCCGGGCGCTTGGTGGTGGGCCATATCTTGGCGGGGGAGCGCCGGGTCCCGTAGGGAAAGGATGTCATGTCAGGAGGCGGGACCTTGGTGGTGGTGGAGACGTACTGGAATATCTCGTTCAGGTTGTGCAGGTGGGGCACCAGCTCCAGCCAGAAGGCGACCTTGGTGGCGCGGTAGTGGTCCCGCACCCGGGGTTTCAGGCCGATGTGCAGGTAGAGCTGGTCTTTGGGGTTGTACTTGGACCAGGCCACCTCCTCAAAGCGGTTGGGCTTGGTGTGGATGAACTTGGTATCCTGAGGCACGGGCTGATTGGGGTCACTGGGAAAAGAAGGGAGGACAAAACAGAAAGGAGGTCATATTCTTCCGCAAGGGCACCCGGGAGTCTCAGTCAAGCAACACGGGAAACTAACTACCCTCTGTTAACCGCACGCGTTTATCGATGTGCACAACCTACCGCAGTCGCCACAGACGCCCTCTGCGTTATTCTAAGGTTGGCTACCCTTTTGCCTTCACCTGAAAATTCCCTTACTTATCATTTGTTTTGTTCTGTTTATCCATTTATGGCGCTGTTTAGATTCCTCATAGCAGTGAAATCATAATGTCTCTGTCTTTCTCCACCAGGCGTATTCACTTAGCACAAGATCCTCTAGGTCCATCCTTACAGGTGAAAATGGGAAGATGTCATTTTTTTTTTATGGCTGAGTAATAGTGCATTGTGTGTGTGTGTGTGTGTGTGTGTGTGTGTGTATACCACATTCTATGCAAAAGTGAAATCCTATCGTGTCTGTCTGTGTCTGACTTAGTTTACTCAGCACAACACGCTCTATTCCCCTCCACGTTGGCGCAAAGGCTAAAGATGTCACTCTTTTCATGGCTGATCAATACCCCCTTGTATACACGCACCACATCTTCTTGATCCAACTGTATTTTTAAAAGAATTCCTGGTGGCAGCATTATGTCATTTTCATAGTACTTTCCCTACTTTTAAAACGCATCCAATTATCTTCAACGGCAGTAAAGGAAACAACGTCTTGGCAGCGTTTTTATGAAGCGGTGCATCCACTGCCAGCTTCCCGGACACACACCAAGGGACCGGGAGGTCCTCCTGGAAGATTTCTGGTCTACAGGTGTTTCTGGGCATCGGGAAAGATGCACACAGCAGACCTGGCCGGCAGGTACAGTATCTGCCGAAGGAAGGACTTTAGCCGCCCTCCCCCGTGGTGGTCAAAGCCATTTCCGAAATGCTGAGCTTTCTACACCTGAGAAATTGCGAGCAGGTTCTCCCGATTCCTCAGTTATGGGGTAGATGGGAGCACAGGGTCTGGGAGTCAGAGGTGAAGGTGGAATATGCACCGCTACAATGCTGGCATACAGTAAGAGCTCATTAAATGGTATCCCCTTTCTGCCAATACATAAATTAGAATGCCTAAAATATGTCTAGTTTATACTACTCCAAAAGACACAGTGTCTGGCACAAATAACACCCCCCCCTTTTTTTATTTACAAAAGCTTTTATGACAAAGTCGTAAGCATGTAATTCTCTAATAATATGATACTCAGGCACACCCTAGGCCATGTTAGAGGAAATGTTCAACTTAAAACTACAAATTATTATACCTATATTAGTATCCTACCAGCCACACCCAAGTAGGCCTTACGTGTGCCGGACCCTGTAGATTTTTACAATACCTAAAAATGTAATTTAGAAAACCTAAAAATTTCCTTAGAGAGAGCTGTAAAGAAGTATATGCCCACAGTATAGAAAGGATGCTATATACTTTTATAGCATATGCTATATAAAATACTGTATATACTGCACGTGGTATAGTGTATATAGTATATCTGTATAAAACTATATATCACAGTACATACAGCATGCAATATACTGTATACAGTATATGCTTATAATACTACGCATCATGGTACATACTGTATACTATATGGGGTATATATGTTTATTCACTATACACATATAGATATGATATGTATTATAGGATGATAGATGTATAAGAGAAAAAAGTTTTTACCTCATATCTGAATACACATGAAATGCAGCGCTTTTATTTTAGTAAGGGGACCAAAAATATAAAATTATAGCTCCTAATGATACACCCTTTCGTAGGTATGTGTTCATTTATAAACAATACATTTTATAATAAACTGCTTTGACTTCTTATTTTTTAAAATTTTTTATTTTGGAATAAGTGTTGGAGCCCCGTATGTTTCTTTTAGTTGAGTTTTCCTAAAATAAATATTTGGAACCTTTCTTTTCAATGGGAACTTGCCATGGAAACATTTATCATCGATTTTTACTGACCGAAAGCCGTGGGAGGTTGTGGGGGTTCCTACTAATTCTCTGCTCATCTGACCTCAGTGCATTTTGTTTCTTAGCTGTGTAGCCCGTTATTAAGGACACATCATCTGGGAGAAAGACTGTTTTGTTCGAGCTGGATATTAGGCCATTTTGCTGGAATTTGGGGTACATTTGAAAAGCAAAGAAACACATTTATTGTGCTCTCAAGAACAGGGCACCGTGCTTGGGGAAACGAGAAAGGTATACTTGACCCGGGTCAAATCTATCAAACTTCTCAGACACACAGTTAGAAGCCTTAAACTGAAATAAACCCACGGAGCTTACGGAAGCCCACGCCACCTCGTCAACACGCTACTGACGGGGGATGTCTACGGTAAAATTAAAGAGTATGACGATTCACGATAGAAACAGACACGCCTTCTCCTACAGCCTCCCCCCACCCCCGTATTCCCCAGCCCCTCACCCGGACGTTTCCAAGGGGCGTATTTTATTGGCGATATGATCTTGGCACTGGGTACAGAGTTAAATGTGTTCCTAAGGTTTTGTGGGTCCTTTTCTGGACCAGAGAGAGGTAACAGGACTTCTTTAAAGATGGCAGTGCATTTTGATAGGGTGGCATTGTGGGCACGGGGCTCTCCTTTGACCTGAAACGAAGCGGTCGCGGACGGCGTGTTATGGGATCTCGGGGGCAAACGCCAGCGACACACCAAGACTTGTGTGTTCAGTGACTCCTATGGAATGGATCAAGATGGTTACTTCTTTAGTGTGAAATATGTTGTTGGCAGTAAAGGTCACTTGTAAAACCAGGCTGGTACGGCTGGGCCATTCTTGCTCTATTCTCCTTAATTGTCTCTTTCCCACTCTCTGCAAAGATTCGGTGAACGTGGAAAATAAATTAATCATAGGCTTCCGGCAAATTCCTAAGTAGAGATGCTCCTGAAAGCAAACTAAAGCTCTAAAGCGTTCCACCATACCCACCCCACACTCTGGAGGACAAAGTAAAAAAAGTGAAATACACATTGCTTTTATTATATATTTAATATATTTGGTGTCTTAGTCATGATGAAGCAATGTCGCTATCTCCGAATGCCGATACCTTCTAAAGTCTTCAAGATCCAAGGCAAAACTGGGTTGCTTAAATTCCTTTCACGGTCGTGTTTGCGATGGAGATCGTCATATGTGCTTTCTATCCACCTCTTTCTACACAGGAACCGAACTGAACTGGCCCTTGATCAATGAGCAGCTGAGTTGTATTGATTGGCCATGACCAACAAGCCTTCCCTTCTGTTGCCAGATATTTGATAGGACAGAGATGCATATTCTTTATCAGCGTTGGCCAGCTTTGGAATCAGCTCTCATTTTCCCTTGACGTTACGCCTCATTGACCAAAACTCTCCACGTCAGCCCTGTTCCTATGCGGCCACCGAATATTCTGGCCTGAAGTGTCCATTTTCATCTCTGTTTTGCTTCAGTTCTCACGTGGGTCATGGAAACAGTGTCTTGGGTAGAAATAATTCCTCCTCTGTCTTCTTCCCTCCCTTCTTCACCTCTCTGCACCGCCCCAAAGGGAAGGCCTAACATCATTGTTTGTGTGCACACAACCGGGAAAGTTGATATGCCTAATATATGAACATTTAAACCTAGACGCCAGGTTGTAACTGTTAGCGCTTCGGGGCGTGCAAATAGCAGCCGCAGGTGCCCCTCCACCTTGAACAATTGGGAACTCAGGATGCTGTGTGTCACGCATGAAAGGCGTGAAGTTCCACCAGAGGATAACGTTTACATGTGTTGTGGAGCCGTGGGCGCCTTTCTTCACAATGTGTTGTCCTGGGTGCAGGATGAGCTTTCTTTTTATCAAACTCCTGAATCCCTTGTGCTTAGAAGGAGCAGTGGCTGGTGCTCACCCGCCTTCTAGGCTACTCCCTGCATCCTTGCTTGTGTCCGTGTGCTGGAGGTCAGAGCTAAGCCTCACCCCTCGGACCGTGAGCTCAGATACGGTTTAACCTGTGCAGCTGCCTATCCGATATCATTTGGGCTTGTTCTCCTCACCTGGACTGTTGAAGCAGCTCCCCACCCCACTCCCCCGGGCACGAGGACGTTCTCTGCACCAGGCTGCCGATGCCACAACTTATTTAAAATAAGTAACTAACTCGCAACGACCTCTGAAGCCATTGTCATCCGCGGGCAAATACCTCAATCACTAGGCTATGCCCATCAGCTGCATCGTGTTTCCTTGCCCAGCCAGCAGCCCGCGAAATATGACTCCCTACTCACATCCGAAGCGGCGTTTTGCTGTGCACATTAAATGGAGTTCTGAGTGCCTCCCTTGAAGGACACGCTCAGTCCCACCAACCGCCCTTACAAATGAATTAAGAAAAAAACTCAGTGCATGCATATGTGTTCAGTATCGTTTTAGCTCCGCTCCTCCTGGACCGCAGGAACGAAAGCGTGCATCCTGCCGGGATGGCCTCCCGATTCTTCCGACGGACTTCCGAGGCCCCGTGTCATCTCTCTCTCATGCCCTCGGGGAGACCCCTACCTGAAGCTTTGGGCTCCGGTCAGGTGGCCGCTATTCTGCAAGATGCAGGCTGTGTCCTTTCCCGCCTGCTCCTGCTACCTCGCCACCGTTAAGAAAGCCCGCAACGTCGTCAGCACGTTAACGTTCCTCGTCCCCTAAATCGGCCTGGGCCGTGATTCCTGAATCCTGGGTGGTGTTTTAGCTCCACGCCCTGCCTATTTCCCCCAGGGAAGGGCGCAGACCTGCACTGCCAAGCCAGGGAGCTGTAGGAACTTGGGCTACAGCATTACAAAGCGTTCGATGGCAGAACAGCGTGGCATTTTCCATCCTGGCCCAGTGCTGCTTAGATGCTGCTGGAGGCATCTGCTTGGTGTGAGCCTGCGGTATTCATCCCCTTCCTCTCTTTCCTTCATTTTTGAACAAAGAAAAAGCCCTCAACCCAGGGCCTCTGGCCAGAAGGAGCGCTAACGAGAATTTAATGACTTTGTTTGGCTTCTATTTTTTTTTCTTTTTAACGGTTCATTTAAACGCATGATGGATAACACTGGCTTTGCAATTAAAATGATCAAATACTCATGTTCAAAACATGGAAAGGGGAAAAGAAAGACTTGGTTCTCAGAAAGGTGAGTGATGCTGGGGCGTTTAGATCGCACGGCAAGAAGGGCATGCTTGGAGGACAGAGCCAAAAACGGGCGCAGAAGGCCATGGTTTGGGAAACGGCCCTGTGAATTTTCCGTTCCCGAGGATGTAAATCGCTGCAAGGGGAGATGGAGGGCCTGGGTCCCGTGGACAGGAAGCTGCCTTTAGAAGGAGCTGTGAGTTCCGCTGTTCCCTCTCACGCTGAGATGTGCTCAAGTCCTAACCCTGGCACCTGAGATCGTGGCCTTCTGCGGAAGTCATCCGTGAAGACACGGTCAGGTCTCAGTGCAGCAGAGCGACGTTCTAAAGCAATGTTCCCGCACCTTCCCAAGAACGTGCCATCTAAACAGACACACGCGTGTGCGGGCTAACCGCCCGTGACACAGGCGGGAACCGGAGGGACGCAGCTCCAAGCCAGGAACGCCACAGGCTGCCGGCAAACTGCCCAAGGCTAACGAGAAGCGTGGAGACACAGGCTCCGGCGGGTTTGCGGGGGACATCGCCCCAGAGACAAGTCATTTTGGGTATCAAACCACATCCCTTTGGGTTTCAACTGCCCTAGGAAGCGAATGCACCACTGTGGTGTGAACATCCGTATGGACTGGATTTCAACCCTCTCCTGGAGGGAGACAAAACGGTTTCCTGAGAGTCAACCGCCGTTCCCAAATCTTTGTGCCTTGTCCCTTCCCTGCGGCGCTCGGGGCACCTGTTCTGACTGCAAATATATAAAATCGGACCGTTCTCCGTGGGCGCTCACACAACACACTTTCCACTCAGCAGACATGCTGTACTTGAGCTACGACTGTGAAGCCCTCGGAAGCTCCGCCCGCCCCGCCCGCCACCAGGAGTGTTTGCAGGGACTGTGAAGAATGACAGGCTTGTAGAGCCCCAGGCACGGTCACCCTCAAAAGCCCCGCCCTTCCCCCCTCCCGGGAGCTGCGTGGGGCGTGGGCCGGCAGGGCAGCACTGCGGGAAGCTAATGCAGCGCCCGCCCAGCTCGCCCTGGGAAGCTGCTCCAGCCGCGCCACCGCCAGCCGCTTCATTTTCAACTCAGCACAAGAGGCTCAAGGTTAATGAAAGGAGTACATTAACCACGTGGGACCGAGGGACGCCTCACTCATTCCCCCAATTAGGTTAGGGGACAGGAGAGAATGCAGAGGTCTCGATAGGTGTGTAGCTACGTGAGGTACTGGGCAGTCTTTTCTCTCCTTGTTTGCTGAGCCTCTGCTCAGCAGCCTATGGGGGGCGCTGTTGTATATTTTCTATGCGTTTAGCCAACGAGGTTTTAAGAAAAGATATATTTAGAGATACACAGAGATACCTGCACCCCTCTCCAGGGTCCAGCACAAACGACACTCCTTTTTATTACATAAACATCTTTTAGGACAAAATCATCAGCATGTAATTCTGGAATGTAACACTATGACACCCTCCAGCCCACCCTACGACATTCTGGATGAAATGTTCAAATTAAAACTATAAATTGTGACACCTATATTATTACCCTACCAACCACACTGAAGGTGGCCTTCCTTCTGCCAGATCCTGTATATATGCACATATTGATGAAATGTATATTTATGTATGAAATCAATATGTATAAACATTTGTATAGACGTACATATGTAACTATACAGATATTAGAAATACAGTCCTTTATACATCACTGCCATGAGGCAAAATGTCACAATAAAGCAACTGACTCAAAGAATTTGGTTTCCCGGTGCGTACAAAAGTCATGTTTACACTATACTGTAGTCCAGCAATTGTCAACCTTTTTCATGTCGCACAAACGCTAATTACTAGAATTCGGCAGCACGCCCCCAAAATATATCTTTTGCTGATCTGACCATAAAATAGATATCATTCTGATTCCTTCACACCGGACGGCGATTGTCGTGTTGGCTGTTGTCATTTTCTTTGTTTGACAATCTGAGGGAAAAGAAGTCAGAGCCCCTGACTAAATAGCCAGGTATTGCCTGTGTTAAAAATTCTTGTGGTGCCCTAGTTGGAAAAATCACTGCTATCGTCTATGGAGTGTGCGATAGCATTATGCCTAAAAAACAATGCGCATCCTTTAACGAAAAATATGTTATTGCTTTAAAAATGCTGACCACCATGTAATACTTCAGTAAGTATCTTAGTCTTAATCTTCAGTAAATAAATGAATAAATAAAGCAATGTCTAACAATACAGCCAAGGGTCATAAAATGAAGTATGCCTATATGTGTATATATATTACACACACACACACACACAGTATCTCTTTACAGTTATTATGAGATCTATTTCATTTCCAGGGCTGCAGAATTAGAATATGTATCATGGGGCTCGTGTGTTTTGATAACTCTGTTATTTACCAAATGAGATGAGGTCTCATTTATACCCTGGAAACTCGACAATCAGCTTTCAATAAAATTGCCAAGCATGTCTATAGCCTGCATTAGCAGGTAAGAAACAGAATTTTCAATATACAATTAGCACCATCATAGAAATCTGGCTTACTCTGGTTGGGTGGCTCCGTTGGTTGGACCATCGTCCTATGCACCAAAAGGCTGCAGGTTCAAACCCCCATCAGGGCACATACCCAGGTTGCAGGTTCAATCCCCAGTCGGGGTGCATACGGGAGGCAACCAATCTGTGTTTCTGTCTCACATCAATCTTTCTCTGTCTATCTGTCTCTCTCTCCCCCTTGCCCTCTCTCTAAAATCAATAAACATACTCTCAGGCAAGTATTAAAAAAAAATGTGTCTCGACAGCAATGATGGAGGGGTAAAGAACAAACGTGGTGCCCGCAAAAGCTGGGGAAAAGTGACGATAGTGTGTACGTCTGCAAGCTGTGGCGTATATACGCCTGCCAACACTTATACGGAGGAACCACACATGTAACAACACGATGGGGAAAACTTACCCGGTTTTGGCGAAATTTGTCCAATAGGTCATGACCACCGCGCTGAGCATCACGTCGTTCTTGGAGAAGTTGCAGCTGAACAGCTCCGTGGGGCCAATCATGGGAATGCCGAAGACGTAGGGGACCTCGTCGCCGTGGGCTGAGTCCGCCCAGCTGGGCTTCATCTCGCTCTGGCAGTGGTGGTAGAAGGCGTAGAAGTAGGTCGGAGACCCGTACTGGGCATGAAGATCGGCGGTGGCCACCGCGGGGGCCACCCACTGGTGGTCGGTGAACAGGGCCACCAGGGTTTTCCGGCGCGTCTCCGGGTTTTCCTTGTCCGCCCAGTCCGTGTACATGAACTTGATGGTCTCCCTCAAGGTGTCTTTGCCCTCCGGGTAGCCGTACAGGTTGTCCACGAAGTTGGACACGGAGAAGTCGAAGTCGTTGGGCGTCACGCCGTCTTCGTTGTCCACGATGCCGTCCACGAACTTCAGGCCCTCGCCCTGGTTGACGCCCAGCATGATGTCGTAGTTGAGGAACTCGCCCTGCTCCATCAGGATCTGGGGGTCGTCGGGGATGACGTCGCCGTCGATGACAGGGCCGAAGGAGATGTGGTAGGTGGCGGGGGTGATGGTCTGCTGGATGAGCTCCTTGTAGTTCTTGTTCCGAAGGCACTCCACCATGTCCGTGGTGTCCAGCATGTTACAGCCGACCTTGTCTGCCAATATCCGGGTGTACTTGGCCGGTTGGTAGTTCACGGCCCAGCTGGACAGGGCGGTCCCGCTCTGGATGATGGCTTTCTGGAACAGGCCTGCAGGTGCAAAATTGGGGGCATGCAAATGAGAAACTCCGAGAGACAGAAGGGCCGCTTTCACGGAGCAAAGAAGGCTCTGATTGAGCCCCGGGCCTGGGAATGTCTGGGCACAGGGGCATTCAGCTCATGCACGAGCTCTTTCATGCACTTCCATCTCGGCCTGCCCCCGCCCCCCGGACGTTGCTGGGATGCGATGTTCTTACGGCACACACACCACAAATGTTGTTTAAGAAAATAAAACTACGTTTACCCTTGACCTGGAGGGGCAAAGCTACATCTTCTCTTTCTCCTCGCACAACCTGCTGTTGTATTTGCTTGTCCATCCCTGACGTTACGGACAAAGCCTGTTGGAGCAGACCTCCCCCGGTCCCTAAAAATACGCTTTGGGCCACGAAGGAGGTCAAAGGCTGCTCTGTCTCCCAGGAAAACCAGGTATGGCTTCCTCCCAGGAAAAACAAATCTACGGAAATCAGCCTCAGAGTACACATTCAGAGATGTAGTCCTAGCCCCCTCCTCAGCCTGTTAGGGGTCTTAAAATTCTGCAGTGAAATGAATTGAACGAACTCTTCCTAAAGAAAGCCTCGCTTGAACACCCAACTACAATGTATATTTTTTTTTAAAAATTAAGTCATTTCAAAATTGCATCCATTTTAAGCCCAGTCCTTTGTATAACTTATTCTACTCCATTTTAAGAATGTCTGTTTGGTGAGACATTTGAAGAATCTTGGGCAGTTTGAGGAGTAAAATTTGCACTGCCCAACGATGAGGCACAACCTTGGACATGGCTTTAATGTGGCTTTGCCCAATACATCGTGGAAGTGATTGGAGGCCACTGTCCCCGTGTTTATAATTGCCAGAAATAGGCAAGTTTAGAACTTGGGAGTTTGATGAAAAAGACTGATGCTTTAAAATGCCTTAAAGCAATGACGTCGATATTTGATCTATGGAGACATTTATGAGTTAAAACAATCAGAATTAGAGAAACAGTGCTAGAAGTCACTTCTTTCTCTCTCTCTCACCACTATTGGCTGGCCACGAGTGAGGAAGAAGTATGGATATATCTGTCTGCCAGGGAAGTAATATAACCCCTGAAAAATGAGAAACATTGAGTAAAGAAAAAAATATCCCCTATAATTCATACTGTAACATGCAAGTAACCTTAACATTTTAGTATCATTCTTTTTGGCTATTTTTCCTCCTTAGTCTGCTTTGCTGAACTGTGTCTATTATAGGTATATTTTTTACATTGTGTTTCTCAGGCTATTGTCTATCTTAAGCTCAAATATTACAACTAATTATTGTTCCTTTGAGTAAATACTTTTGTTCCTTATTAACTTCCTTGTCTTTTTAATCTTTTACCATTTTTTTTCATCATTCTTTGCTGTGATAACATTAGGAGAAATAGGTTTGTGAATGTATCTTGCCACATGTACGTTGATTTTGTTAGAATATAGCGCTAGAAGTGGAATTCCTATGGCCAACCCTTTGGGGATTTTTTAAATTTTTGATTCTATCTCTGGGTTGCTTTTGAAAAGGCACTTTGTACAAAGGAGCCACACAAGACATTATCCCGTAGCACAATCATTTCTATCGGTCAATTTAAGTAATTAACGCTCTTCCCCCATTAGTTTTGGCTGAGATGGGGTTGATTCCCACGAAAGTCGGTTCCGACAAGTTTCTCGGTCGCAAAGTGAGAAACGTGAAAGTCTAGGCATTTACCTGACGATGCACTTTTTCCTTTTTGTCAAGGGTTAATACAAGTCTAAGCCTTTAACTCCACTCTCCTTACGCACGAGGAAACAAAGAACCAAGGCATTCAAAGCTGAGGACTAAAAACTCATCGTCAATTTTATCTTGCCAATGAGGACATCAAGGCACAGAAAGTTTCAGCGATGTGTCCGTGATGGTCCAGGAAGCGAGGACAGAATGGGACGCGGGGATCCGGCCCAATGGTGCCGTCCTTTGTTAGCATGTTTGTGCATCTTGGAGGGGTTTGAAAGGAAGACACTGTAGAACTATTTAAAGAAAAATAATTCCTTTCAAGTTGTACGTGCTTTGATGTAAATGGTTCAAAGAGGTATGGTGCACACGGTAGCCAATCCCCGCTGATCTCTCTCTTTGATTTAAATGTTTATTTCTTTTGAAAGACAGTTGACGTTGACTCTTGTGCTAGCTTCAAGTGTACAACATAGCAGTCATGCATTTATATAACTTCTGAAGTGATCCTCTCACTACGTCCAGCGCCTACCTGGCTCCATACACAGTTATTACAGTATTGTTTACTCTATTCCCTATGCGGTTGATGTCTCTTTTAAATTGCAAAATGGCTTAAGTCCTCTGTCACCCATGGACAGGAGAGAATGACCCTCGGTTAGCTTGGATCAGAAAAGTGACTTTTCAATTACAGAGTCCTTTCCACATTATTTTGTGCAGCACCGCATGGGGAAGAGAGTCAGTAACAGAGAAGAGGCCGCCAGCCTCATGATGTCACGAGATTTTACGGCGAAGTCTACAAATCCACATCTATTATCTATGTCCTCTTAACGCTGACCGAGTAAGGACAGAAAGGCCAAAGGACAGCGTTGGCCTTTTGAAAGAGGTCATCGTTGTAAGCGACATCTAATGGCAGTCAATTTAAGGAAAAAAAGGTATATTATGAAAATATCATATTTTGTCGTGTATGATGCACACTTTTGCCCATATTTTTGAGGGAAAACAAGGATGCACATCATACAAGGGTGTAATGATCCTATACCACAGGCATAACAGTCCCGTGTATAATGCGCACAAAAATGAGAGTGTACATGATACATGGAGAAATGTAGTAGTTAACGTCACTGTATTGCCTATAGGAAAACTGCTAATACCGGGAAGTTCTCATCAGACGACTAAGATATTTTATAACAACGTGAGGCAATGGGTGTGAATTCGACTTACCAATGTATAGACTTCACAATGCATACAAATACGATATCGTTATGTTGTATACCTGAAAGCAACGTAATGTTTCATGTCGATGATAGCTCCATTTTGAAAACGGGAGGGAAAGCTGAGTGACAGAAGACAATGTAGACAGACGCGTGTCGTTTTGGGGACATGGGTTCATTTGGTCCTGGGGCCCAGCAGTTCCCATGGGGACACCTTCACCAGTTACCTTCTGAATAGTGGGACAAGGTCAAGAGGCTGACGCAGGAGGCTCCTGCGCCGGAGCCGAAGATCGTCACGCGCTTGGGATCGCCGCCAAAGGCCCCGACGTTCTCCTCGATCCACCGCAGCGCCTGGATCTGGTCCAGGAGCCCGTAGTTGCCTTTGGCCGCCTGGTCTCCGGTACTTAAAAACCCTGCAAGGGGAGACAGAGCGGTTGGATTCGTCAGCTCCAAAAGGCACATCCACATCATTCTTGTTTGCAAAGTTTGTGGGTCACCTGGCCCATGCGTTCCTCCCTGTGAGAAGCAACAGCGCAGAACACTTTTCATGGCAGAGAGGGTGGGAGCCTATAAATAACAGAACGATTCTGTAAAAATGCTTCCTCGGTGGCCTGGGGTGGAGCCCATCCGTAAGGCAAACTGAGCCTAAAATATTTATATAACAAGTGACAACACCAGCGACTATAAATTTGACAGGATTCCAGTTATCATTCCGGTGCACATGTCCGTTTCCTGGACAAAACGAAAAAGACTCCTGAAAGAAATTTTGTTCCAGGGGAAGAGACCTCTGCGTGTATGTGTACAAAAGCAGTAAGCATCAGCTTTTTCTCATTACGTTTTTGTTACTTTGAATTGAACACTGTTTTCATGTTTCACTGTCAAAGGAAATGACAGACACAAGGAGATCCCACCCTTCAGGAGCTTGTGGGCACCTCTGTTTGCCTATGTAGAAAAAACTCCCAGAGTTACACACACCAAAAATAATTCCTTAATAAAATGTAACATTGACTGAATAAGGGCCAGGAAGGCAATAGTGTTCGCTTGCCTCAATAAGTCATTTTTGCTTCAATTACTGTAAACAAGAATTGTTATAAATGTAAGCCAGGAAAAAAAATATTCTTAAGTAGTTAATAATGCTGTATTGCACATACGAACGCTGCTCAGAGAGTCGATGTTAAACAGTCTCACTAAGAGAGTTGATCTTAAAACTTCTCATCAGGAGAGAAGGGAACTTTGGCTGAACGCCAAGGCATATTCCAATCTCCCCGGCCACCCGCAAAATACCGTGAGCTGGGGGCGCACACGCTATTTTAAAAACCAGGAGAACTCTGTAAACGGAGAAACTAGGTTCCAAGCAAGGCCTGGAATTCTTAGTTTCTTCTCATCAGCTGCTGAGAAGGCAACTTGGGCAAACTGACCCATCTCAAGCACGCTCCTCGCTCCCTGCTCCTTTCTACACACACAAATCTCTTGACCTGGAAGCACTGTGTTCCTCTGGTGGTCGAGGTCATTTATTACACACACATATACACTCCCTCCTCCTCCACCACCCTGCCCCACACTCAGATCGACACTATGTTTCTTCTTTAAAAAAGAAAAAAGAAAAAAAAGGCAGTCATGGCTTGTGTGGCTCCGTGGATTGAGCATCGGCCTGCAAACCAAAGGGTCGCCGGTTCGATTCCCAGTCAGGGCACCTGCCTGGGTTGCAGGCCAGGCCCCCCGTAGGGGGCACGCAGGAGGCAACCACACAGGGATGTTTCTCTACCTCTTTCTCCCTCCCTTCCCCTCTCTCTAAAAATAAATAAAAGTTTTTTTTTAAAAAGCATTAAAAAGTTGACACCATTTCCCATTCTTATTTGTCCCTACCCGAATTCCCAATTATGGTATTTTTTCCCTTTCTGTATCATTCTTGAGTCCAAGGGCCGTGCCATTTACCCATTTCAATTAATGAGAAGGAAGTCCTGGTAGCCTGCTGTCGTGTTTCTACGACGACAGACTGACTCACGCCCTAAAACCACACCCCTCAGACCCGGTTCCTTCAAAGGCACCTCTCGCCCAAGTGGCCATCCGTGCAAGACGTTCTCCAGTTCCAGCTTCTCAAACCGACAACGAAATCCTAAAGGCTGAGGCCTTCTGCCAGCAGAGGACCAAAAACAAATGGGCGGACTTAACGCAGCAGGAAGCGGGTTTTCCTGTTCAAATGACACCACTCGGGACTCTTGGACCTACAAGTACACGCAGGGCGACCCGTGCCAGGTCGTGCATGCATGGCACATCTTCCAACTCCGGTCCTCTGTGACGTTAGGGACCGACCTGAGGGGAGAACACGCGGATGCACCGACCCTCCACTATTTAATTAGCGACTCCTAATTACTTTTTCTTGCCAGCGAATATTGGGCAGCTTCAGCATTCGCCCCTAGGCCTTTTTCTCCCCACCCCCTCCCTTTTTTTTACAGTTTCTCACGAAATGACCCCTGCTCTGCTTGAGAGGAAGGCCTCTTTCACGCCACCTGATGTCCCCAACGGCCGATGATGGCAGTTTCGGTGCCACACCATGACTAAGACAGGCCCCTCTTTCCCCACGGAGGAGAGAGGTGATTAATTCTGAAAGGTTGCAGTAATTATCTGGCAGAACTATTCGGTCTCCAACATACCCCTCCCTCCACCCGCCTCGCTCACAGCCTCTCCTAAGCCTTTGCAGAAATGGCCTATTTGCTGATTTTTGTGCCTGCGAAGCAAAATGAGAATTTGCAACAGGCAGTAAATTGCTGCTCTTTATGAGACCACGGCCCCTCCCTTCCCAGCAAAACGTGAGTGGAGCCGCCTCTCAGACGGCCGGTTAATTAATGTCCCGCGCGCCAGCAAGCCTTGGTTCTTCCCAGAGCATCCTATTGAAAGGTCTGAGCTTTTACGATTCTGAATTCTTTCCAAAAGCCCTGAGGGAAACAGCCCTGTAAGCTTGTGTGAAGTTCAGCAAACGATGAGGTTGGAACAAAAAAGAAAAAAAAAAAGAAAAAAAAAAAAGGCAGTGTTTCCATAGTTTCTGCCTCGGAATTTCCATTTACTTCAGTATCCAAGGATTTCCCCCCCCCCCTTCTCTTTTAGTTTAAACAATCCTCCAGGCAGAGTTCCAATTTCGGGTTCTCTACGACGCCGCATTCCAGTGTTTATCCTGCACGTCCAAACAGGGTGTTTGATATAATCCGGAACGATGATGCATGTAGGTTTACCAGTGTGAAAGGCTATGAACAACCGCGCGAGAACAGCCGATGCACGTGGGAACAGCGCCACACGCTAGCAACGATGATGAGCGTTGGCAGAAGCGTGCTTGGAGCCAGGTCCCCGCCGAGCACAGGAGTCCCCTTCTACGCTTGGGTGAATTAATAAACAAACGGCCCCTCTCTCCCGCATGGGCAGTCTCAGCCGTTCAGCCAACAAAACATTGATGTTTTTGAGATTTTTTGGTCTCTGAAACGGAGCTTGTCAGTCAGTCCCCCTTCTGCCCCAACCACTGAACAGGGGTAGAGAGAGACAAGCGGGACTGTGTGAATTCAGACGCGTTAGGGAGCCGGGGAAGGCCGAGTGTCATTCCAAGAAGGACCCGTGTCCACACCAGAGAAATGCTCCGGGTCTGTGTGGTTATTCTAAAGGACGATCCACGAACAAGATGCCTGAAAAACAGCAATCGTATCTCCTCCTACGGGAAAGCAGTTAGTGTCGTACAGAAATGAGCACGACGTTGAATCTCAATATTGCTGTTCGAATAGCAAGTTTCAGGGCGTTGTGACAGGTAATCGTCATCTAAAGGTTCTTGGCTTGTCTCGTCTTTTTCTGTTCTTTTCTTTCTTTTCTTTTTTTTTTCTTTTTTTGGCTTGCACCGTAGGGTTCAGGTCAGATGGCTTTCCATGTGCTGTACGTCTGCGGAGGAGACCCCAGGAGGTCACTGGGTAGCCCCTTGTCATGTCTAATACAGCATTAAACCCACGATCCACATTCTTGTGTGAGATGATTCATCACGTCCGCACAGCGGGCATTTATTTTGGGGTGACCATGCACTGGAATATTCTTTTTAAGTGACATGCCAGTGCGGCAACTTTCGCATTTTTCCTGGGTATGCACCTGTAGTGGAGAGAATTAATCTGCGGTCCCCAATCTGCATTGCGTGTACCCGGTGACAGAAAGAATCTTGGCTGACTGTGTCTGGGGAGTGAGCTCCTGCCACATACGGAAAATCACGAGGTTTGCTTATGCAGGCGCCTCTGTGTGGACGGACACTTAATTTAACTGCATACAAAGCACAAAGAAAAATGGTTCAATAAAACTCTTCAACAACAATGGACAGCATTAACTTTGGGTCACGGAAAGGAACCCCCCCAAAAAAATCTACGTGATGAGAGCAGGGCCCAGGTATGACAGTGAACATCAGTCCGATACTTGCAGATTCGGATTCGTTGGTGTTTATAAAACTCACTCACTGGGCTCATTTATTACAAAGGGAATCTTCAGTTTTTATTGGAATCATTTATCATTTAACTTACAGAGAGGATGGGAAGGAAAAGAGGTAAAGGTGCATACTGAAATTCTGTACAACTGATAGGTCAAGCTGACTGAAGTGTCCCGTCTCTATCTTTTTTTTTTTTTTAATTTTACTTAAAAATGACCTGAGTAATAATGGGCCATCCTTCTGTTAGGTTGAATTATGCCCTCAATAGTGTGCAGCCTCAGATGCTATGACTAATGTCAGTAAAATGAAGCTAAGGCAGCTGCAAAGAGTCCTTCAGCACACGGTTCCAAACTTAGGATCCATTAAGTGATTCATGAGAATCGTAAATTGGATTATATCCCCCCACACTTGTTTAGAATGAGGCTGCCTTCAAGGTCGTTAGTAAGCTTGCTTGTTCGTTTATTCTTGAGAGTTTCTTAAAAGTATTACTGATTCATGACATTGGAAATGATCAAACAGCTTCATCTGTATTTGCTAAAAACAGGAATTTCCCCACTGCATGTCTACAGCAGCGAAAACTTCACTTTGAAGGTGGTCTTGTCACTAACAAACATGTTCTTGTTCTTCTAAGGAGCAGGTATGAATTGTTTAGTGAAGAATGACAAGGCGGTAGTACATGGAGAAAAATCAGTTCTCATCAACAGGCAAGCTCTTTCTTTGCAATAGTAATGCAGAACACTAAAAATGCATTATGTTCTAGAAACAAAATAACGAATAATAAACACAGGTTTGTCTGTTACCGAATACAGACCAAAACGGGAAGGTAGCCGGCAACACCTTTCCGAGGGATGAAAATTGAAACCAACTTTCCATTTTCTCGTCTGGAACCAAATCGCCTTGGAGCTGATGTGGGTTGTTTCTAATTCGACATCTCACTCGTAAACACTCTCCCAGGTTTGTGGATGACTC